GCATTACTGAGAGAATTCATTTGTAAACATGCACGAGGAATTTTTCCTATGCGGTTTTTAACATAATATGTGTAAATGTTATTGAAAAGCTTACAAGATATGTTTTTTTTTTGTGTGAGGGAGTGTTTTATATAATGTGTTTTTCTTATAAAAGAGCAAGCTTTACATTTGACGTGACATTTCAACACTTCTGAAAATATTCACTTTTTATAAACCAATAAGTCATTTTTTAAAATATACATAAATAAGCTTAGAACACGAACGACTAGAAATACAACGTGTTTTCCAATAATTGTCAGACAACCTATCACGTTTTCTAGAGTAACAAATGTATTGTCAGTCTAAACTTTCTATTTGAATTGGCTCACACGTAATACCAACCATACATCAAGACTTATAATGATGAAACACTTTTATTGCTTCTGTCTTATTATTACTGCCTCAGTGGTATCATAGAAGCATATTAGGTTCGGGTGTGAGAGGTCGTGGGTTCGATCCCAGGCTGAGTCAAACCAAAGACTTGAAAATGCGTATTTGCTGCGTTTACGATAGTCACATAGCATTTAGGGGTTCGAAAAAGACAGATAGGCTATATAGTCAGAATATAATTTTGCGAGCAAGGCGGACGTGACTGTAGATTGTTGCCTTGTAATCTAGCACGTTATAAATCCGATTTTTTTTCCGGCGCATGTGTTTAGTAAAATTCAAGATTCATACTAAAATGTCATTTTAACATGTTCTCGTCATTATTGCTATATGAGGGCCTGGATGGGGTTTACATAATAGAGAATAAAAGGTGTAAAAAAAGAATAGAGAAAAAAAGGCAAAAAACAAAGGAGTCGGGAATAATGAGGTATTGAAATATATGTTAAAGTTTATTCCATGATTTAATTACCACTTGACATACATGTATGTTGCATATACTCTTGTCTATGTTATGTATGTAGGTACATTTTGTATGTAGGCTAATGGTTATTTGTGTCGTGATCTGAAATCGTGATTCGTTAATCTGAAGAAGGATATATAATTCTGAAACACAATTTATAATTCTGAAGAAGGATATATAATTCTGAAGAACAATGTACAAATCTGAAGAATGATATATAATTCTGAAGAACAATGTATTAATCTGAAGAAGGATATATAATTCTGAAGAACTGTATCAATCTGAAGAAGGATATATAATTCTGAAGAAAAGAAGAGTAATAGAAGAATCAAAGACGTCATCATTTTCCTAATTTCCTCATGTGATCAGTTATAAGATCCAACCCACAGAACAAGATATCGGCAAAACTAATGTATGAAAATGTGCACATGGCTTCAATAAGACATGACTTATGTAATATAAATTAAGCATGTAAAACATTTTAGCTTGTTCTCAGAGCATCTTAACAACAATGGAGGAATTCTGTTAATTACGTAAGAATTACGTGTAGTTGGAGTTTTATGCATTACTAAGAGAATTCATTTGTTAACATGCGCGAGGAATTTTTTCTATGCGGTTTTTAACATTATTTGTGTAAATATTATTGAAAAGCTTACAAGATATGTTTTTTTTTGTGTGAGGGAGTGTTTTATATAATTTGTTTTTCTTATAAAAGAGTAAGCTGTACATTTGACGTGACATTTCAATACTACTGTAAATATTCACTTTTTTCAAACCAACAACTCATTTTTTAAAATATACATAAATAAGCTTATAACACGAACGACTAGAAATACAACATATTAATAATGGTGTTTTCCAATAATTGTCAGACAACCTATCACGTTTTTTAGAGTAACAAATGTATTGTCAGTCTTAACTTTCTATTTGAATTGGCTCACACGTAATACCAACCATACATCAAGACTTAGAATGAAGAAACACGTTTATTGCTTCTGTCTTATTATTACTGCCTCAGTGGTCTCATAGAAGCATATTGGGTTCGAGTGTGAGAGGTCGTGGATTCGATCCCAGGCTGAGTCAAACCAAAGACTTGAAAATGCGTATTTGCTGCGTTTACGATAGTCACATTGCATTTAGGGGTTCGAACAAAGATAGATAGGCTATATCGTCAGAATGTAACTTTGCGAGCAAGGCGGACATGCCTGTGAATTGTTGCCTTTCAATCTAGCACGTTAAACATCTGACTTTCTTTCCGGCGTATGTGTTTAGTAAAATTCAAGATTCATACTAAAATGTCATTTTAACATGTTGTCGTCATTATTGCTATATGAGGGCCTGGATGGGATTTACATAATAGAGAATAAAAGGTGTAAAAAAAGAATAGAGAAAAATAGGAGAAAAACAAAGGAGTCGGGAATAATGAGGTATTGAAACATATGTTAAAATTTATTTCATGATTTAATTACCACTTGACATACATGTATGTTGCATAAAATTCATTAAGAAATATTACTGGTCTAGACCAAGTGTGTTTAAATTTATTGAACATCAAACAGTTAACCAATTTAGGAAAATACATTTTTACTGCATTTAAAATCAGAGACAATATTACATGAACATTCTCTGTCTGTTTACTTGTGTACTTTGAAAATTTGTATTGACACCGATGAACTGTAAAGTTCAAGGTAATAAAGAATATAATATACTCTTGTCTATTGTCAGACTGTATGTAGTCTAGTATTGGTAATTTGTGTCGTGATCTGAAAATCGTGATTCGTTAATCTGAAAAGGATATATAATTCTGAAGAACAATGTATAATTCTGAAGAAGGATATATAATTCTGAAGAACAATGTATAATTCCGAAGAAGGATATACAATTGTGAAGAACAGTGTATAATTCTGTAGAAGGATATATAATTCTGAAGAACAATGTATAAATCTGAAAAAGGATATATAATTCTGAAGAACAATGTATAAATCTGAAAAGGATATATAATTCTGAAGAGAAGAAGAGTAATAGAAGAATCAAAGACGTTACCATTTTCCTAATTTCCTCATGTGATTAGTTATCAGATCCAACCCACAGAACAAGATATTGACATTACTAATGTGTGAAAATGTGCACATTGCTTCAATAAGACATGAACTATGTAATATAAATTAAGCATGTAAAACATTTTAGCTTGTTCTCAGAGAATCTTAACAACAATGGAGGAATTCTGTTAATTACGTAAGAATTACGTGTAGTTGGAGTTTTATGCATTACTGAGAGAATTCATTTGTTAACATGCACGAGGAATTTTTCCTATGCGGTTTTTAACATAATATGTGTAAATGTTATTGAAAAGCTTACAAGATATGTTTTTTTTGTGTGAGAGAGTGTTTTATATAATGTGTTTTTCTTATAAAAGAGTAAGCTGTACATTTGACGTGACATTTCAATACTACTGAAAATATTCACTTTTTACAAACCAACAACTCATTTTTTTTAAATATACATAAATAAGCTTATAACACGAACGACTAGAAATACAACATATTATTAATTGTGTTTTCCAATAATTGTCAGACAACCTATCACGTTTTCTAGAGTAACAAATGTATTGTTAGTCTAAACTTTCTATTTGAATTGGCTCACACGTAATCCCAACCATACATCAAGACTTATAATGATGAAACACGTTTATTGCTCCTGTCTTATTATTACTGCCTCAGTGGTATCATAGAAACAATTTGGGTTCGAGTGTGAGAGGTCGTGGGTTCGATCCCAGGCTGATTCAAACCAAAGACTTGAAAATGCGTATTTGCTGCGTTTACGATAGTCACATTTCATTTAGGGGATTGAACAAAGACAGATAGGCTATATAGTCATCATATAATTTTCCGAGCAAGGCGGACATGCCTGTGGATTGTTGCCTTGTAATCTAGCACGTAGAAAATCCGACTTTTTTCCGGCGTGTGTGTTTTGTAATATGCAAGATTCAAAATAAAAATGTCATTTGAACATGTTCACGTCCTTATTGTTATATGAGGGTCTGGATGGGGTTTACAGAGTAGAGAATAAAGGGCAAAAAGTGCAGAAGAAAGGGTGAAAAAAAGAATAGAGAAAAAATGGCAAAAAAAAAAGGATTAGGGAATAATGAGGTGTTGAAATATATGTTACATTTATTCCATGATTTAATTACCACTTGACATACATGTTTGTTGCATATACCCTTGTCCATTGTTGCAGAGTGTATGCAGTCTATTAGTTATTTGTGTCGTTTAGTTGCTGTCTCATTTACCTGTTTTTCACGTCTACCTTTATATCTAAAATTTGTTTGTAATACAGAGATTTATTTCTGAAAATAAATATGAAAACTTGTGTTTTTATGAAATAAACTTCTATATATTTATTTTTTCTTCTCGAAATAAAAGATGTGGTATGTTTGTCAATGATAGTCACACGTTCAGACAGCTATCCCCCAGAGACCAAAATGACGTAGATATTAGCAACTATAGTTCATCGTTAGGCCTTTAACAATTTTATTACCTAAAACAGCAGTATTTACGCCAGTGTGTGGTTTATATTGATGAAATTAAATTTATTTTTGAATCACCAAAATGTTCTGGGAATAGCATATGAATAAGGAGACGCGGTATGATTACCAGTGAGGCAACTATTTATAAAGTCCAAAGGTCAAAATGAACAGTTAAAGGTCACCGTACGGCCTTTGAAAACGAAAAAAAACAAGTACTAGTACCGTTAAGTAAGCCGTAAAAGGTCTGTTGTTAAACAATTCAAAAGAAAAACGTCTTAATATATGATCCCATATAAAAACCAAAGAAATGGTCTGATAATAAACTCATCATAGGTTCCAGAATTAGAATTGAGTACGCCAGACGCGCGTTTCGACTACAAAAGACTCATCAGTGATGCTCGAATCAAAAAAGTTAAAAGGCAAAATAAGGTACGAAGTTGAAGAGCATTGAGGAAACAAAATTTCAAAAAGTTTTATCAAATACACCTTAGGTAATCTATTCCTGGGGTAGAAAATCCTTAGTATGACATATTGCCGCACATCATATAAAAAAAATAAATATTTGTGTAACTTCTTTTACAGAAAACTATGGATACAAATATCAGTAGTGCAATGAACGTCACGGATCCTTTTGAAGACCGACCATTGTTGGCCGTGATGGGGATGTTAGCATTCTTCAGTGTTCTAGGAACGGCTGGTAATGCCATGGTTCTGTATGTCTATGTCAGAAAACGTCACAAATTGGCGGCAACTGTATTCATAATTTCTTTGGCAGCGACAGACTTTATGACATGTCTGGTGATTGTTCCGTACACGATTGCAGTGGAATATTTAGATTATTTCATCACGTATGACATAATTTGTAAATTATACATGTTTTTCATCACGTCAAATGTACCATTCGCTGCATTTATCATGGTTGCAATCGCTGTAGACAGATATCTTTGCATTTGTCATCCGTTTTGTCATTTGATGAATGCTCAAAGAGCTAAAAACATTACACTTAGTCTTGCTGGTGTAGCATTTTTGCTTGGAATTGTTACGTCTTTAAATTATAGTGTCTATATAATTACTAACGTTAATGACTGTAACACTGACAAGACTCCATTAGTGAAAAATTTATCGGAATCAATACTTCTTAATGTATCTTCATTAATGTCATCAAAAAGTACTAAAAAAATATTTCAAATGGAACAAATGTCTCAGCTTTTGGAATCCGATGCTTCTTATCCGTACAAGAAATGTCTTTATTCAAAAGTGGAGTATTCCGGAAAGTGTCAACCAAGTGAAACGATATTTTCTTCAAGTTTTGTAAATACGTACCAGAATCTATATGCTGCGTTATTTCTCTTAGCTTTCATAGCAGTTTTTATTTTATACGGACTTGTATATAGGTCTGTTTTAATTCGGCGCGCAAAACGCAGACGACAACGACGCTCAACACAAACAGCATCAGTTCGAAAAGAATCATGGTTTACAGAACATCATCGTCCATCTCTCACAAATATTTTTTCAAAAAAGTGTTCAGATGCACACGAAAGGCATCCGGATGTAGAGATAGCAAGGCAACTAACAATACGAGAAAAGGGATTAGTGGCGAACATAAGGACGGCCGCCATGTTGTTTGTAGTCACTGCAGTATTCATAGTGGCATTTTTACCTGCGTGGCTCATGGCACACACGGTTATACAATATCACATGGTCGTATTTTACACGTACTTTTCTTACAATGTTGCTAATCCAATTATTTATGCTTTTATGAACAAAGCTTTCAGAAGAGATTTGAGAGAGGTATTTGACTGTAAGTCAGTGTTGAGGGAATTGAACTAAAGTATTATAAATTATGTTAATTTATATTTTGATTGTCTATTTCAATTAAATTTCGATAAGTATTATGTGAATAGAAAGATAACTATGTTCTTCGTTTGAATGGAAAAGTCTAAAAAAATTAATTGCATTCCAGTCACAAAATGTTTATTTCATTAAAAATCTAGACCGATCGGTTTCTGCTATTTTACGATCCAAGATGGCGGGGAAACCCCAGACTACCTTGGTCTGAAACAACTATATCTAACGGACTCGTCATGAAAATAAAGGTTGGCCCAGGAAAAGTTCCTTTAATTTGGTTATAGATCTTTTCAATTGTTTCGATTCTTATACATTCTCGGTTCTTATACATTCTTGGCTTTCAAATATTCGGCTCTGAGCCTTCCTGATAAAGGTAAATCCAGAAATACGGTTCGGATGCTTACAATTTGTATAGTTTGGATTTCTTTTTTTTTAAACTGAACGACTGGATTCTTTAAATAACATGAAAGGAAATATATCAAAAGGAGAGATGGTATATGAATACTAAAATATCATAAACAAACACACGATAAAATAAATGATGTATTTATCATGCATTGAATCCATCTGCAATGGATTTAAATACCATTAAAAATTCGTTATCTCTGTAATGATGTCAATCAAATCGGATAAAATAAACATCACATCATTAGTAAATATTACAGTTTTCATTTACCCACAAAATCAATGATAATTGTCCACCACCAAATCTCGTGTAATACGATATTTATCCACTTGAGACAGTTAAATTTTCAAATTTAAAACGCGAGGCTCTCCGAGCGTTTTAAATATTTAAAATTTAACTGTCGAGAGTGGATAAATATCGTATTACACGAGATTTGGTGGTGGAATCTGTTTCTCTAATGATTTTCAAACAATATGCAGGCAAACTTATTCCTTCTTTTTGAATGATCTGCAAAAAGATGTGTTCTTTCTATGTGACGTCATCAGGTATGGTCGCCTTTTTTCATGCCGTCACAATAGGAAATTCAGAGGAAAGTAAGAAAATTCGACGTCATAATCGGATTTTAACCAATGAAGAACTGAGATCAAACGAACCACACGTTGATTAAATTTTTTTATACAATGGGATCAGAAAGGGATAAATTGACGAAGAATTAGAGATATCTCAATTATCCATTTTGAATACACATATCAAGTTAAAAATAAAAACCCTGAGATAATTCGTATGAGCTACAAACCGAGCGAAACTATGTGCGTCACAAGGGTACGCATTTCCTGCTATGTATACACCACCCGTCATGCAACTTCAGACTCGCTCAAAATGTCATGATAGGGAATTGTTACAGTACACAACTGGTAAATTTATTGATAGTGGCCTCGGTGGTTTAATTGTCTAAGTAGTACAACTACTGTATCATTAGCCTGTCAACACTGAGGTTGTGAGTTCGAATTCCGCACGTAGCAGGTGCGGTTGGACTTCAATTTTATTGTCTAGGAAAAAAGTGGCTGCTATCTTGATTGGTTGCTAAAAGTGGCTGCCAGTTTTAGTCTGGTGACTAGGGTTGTCAGTTTCCCTGACGAAGGTCGGTGGTTCTCTCCTGACACTCCAGCTTTCCCCACCAAAACTAACCGCCACAAAATAGCCAATAGTTATACAAATTGCGTTAAACACCAATCAATCAATCAATCAATCAATACATTCACAGAATAAAGACATTTTCTTCTACCAAGATCAAAGACCACGAAACATGTCTTTTGTGATTCAAGACAAGATGACAAGACAATTTTATTCTTTAAAACCATTGTATACACATTGTTACAAATAATGAAATAATAATACATAGTATACACAATAAATTGTGCACAAGACCAGATAAGAATGTTACAATTATTATTCAAGATCATTTAGTTATTATAAAAGAAAAACAGATAGATGAAGGCTAACCAGGAAGACCTTCTAGTGAATTTATAACCTTTATAAATTTACATATATTTTTTAACTTATTTCTATGTGTTGCTTGTAATAAATTACAAAATTTAAATACATTTACTCTGTTACAATAACAATTATCCAAAAAAAGTTTCCTTGAGTCGTCTAGGGATCTACAATTCAAAAGAAAGTGAAATTTGTCACCTAATTCTTGACATTGACATAATTTACGATATCTTCTTTGTCTATCTAAACCTATCCATCTACCAGTTTCAATTGGTTATCTATGATTACCAGTAATATAACCCTATCTCTACCTGGTAATATATAGCATGTATATCTACTATCAAGACACATACAGAACGTATAGGTTAACTAATTTGTGATGGTGATCGTTAAACATGTATAGCGTCGAGTTTAATCGTTCATGCTCATAATTATAAATTAACTGTTAACAAAATTAGAATTTTTCGAAATACTAAGGACTTTTCCCCCTAGGAATAGATTACCACAGCTGTATTTGGCAAAACTTTTAGGAATTTTGGTCCTCAACGCTCTTCAATTTTGTACCTTATTTGGCCTTTTGACTTTTTGGATTCGAGCGTCACTGATGAGTCTTTTGTAGACGAAACGCGCGTCTGGCGTACAAAACATTAATCCTGATGTATATAATGCGTTTATTCATAACCCTACTGGTCCGAGAAAACAAAAATTTCGTAGTTCATTTCTTTTAGACAAAAAGCGCAAATTAAAAATATCGCACCTGCTCTATCCAAAAAATATTTTTACAATGTAGTGTACTTCTTTTGAGACAAATTGTATCAAAATTATAGAAAAGTCTATCGGTTCTTATTCAGAAGATGGGCAATTTATGTTAAGGAGTCTATAATTCAGTTTGACAGCTTCAGACATACTAATTTTTGACCTTTTTAAACTGGACCAAATTACTGCTTTACCTAAAAATTCACGCCCCAAATTTTGTTTACCTATAATTCCCCGCCCCCCCCCCCCCCCCCGCCCCCCGGGCCCCCACCCCCTTTATGCATAAAATATAAAGAAATAAATTTGGAAGGTATATGAAAATAATTTGCATTGTCCACAGTAGGGACTCTATTTCTCTATTTGTCAAAGGACGATAACTGGAACAGTTTTTACGTAAGACCGTATAATGAGAACATGCACAAATTGCGTAACCTATCAATTGAAATATGTAACCACCATAAAAAGTGATAAATACTCCGTACCAAAATAACACATTCTATGAAAGTGCAAACCATGAAAGTGATACAAATTACATCTTTTAAAGCAATTTACCAGAAACATTACATCATTGATAATTTCAACATGATAAGCAATTTTCTTCAAATGAAGTTATTTACGTATTATGTTCAACGTTGCATTCATCTTTTAACTCAGATTGGAACTAAAATCACGTCAAGTGTAATACAAAACTGTATCATTAGGTTTATTACGCTATGAAATAATTTACACAACTGCAACATAAACGATATATATGCTTAGTGGATTGTAAAGGAGAATAGTTTTAGCTAATCAAAATCAATTTTCGACCGTAGCGGTCTTAGTCATTTTAGAAATGTTACCATGAATAATAAATTCCGAGAAGATTCCTACCACGTCTACTTGTAATTCAATTCATAGAGACTGCTAGCATACGCAAACTTTTGATAAGGTAAGATAAAAAGCATACTGACCACGGGCACTTGTCTGCATTTTTTTTTTATAAATATTTAGGAAGCTGCCATTTGATTTTTATGGGGGGCTAGGATGAAATTTGAAAAAAAGGCAGGACAAGAGTTTTGAGTGAAAAAAAAGGTAGGATGAGCATCTTTGCACCAAAAAAAAGGCAGGATGACAATTTATGTAAAAAAGTCAGGATAAACTAATAAAAAAAGGCAGGACCGAAAAGAGTGAAAAATAAAAAGGAAGGACAGAAATTACAACTAAAAAAAAATGCAAGACAAAATTTTTCATCCTACCCCCTACGAAACTCCATGAAATGTGCAAGAGGTATTTTATTCCTACAAACAACTTTGGATCAAGCCTCCATGTCTATCATATATTTTTTTTTCTGCTTAGCCTAGTTCTATTCCTAATTTTTATTCGATCTGAATCTGTGAACACCAAGGGATATTAAAACAGTTTCATCCTTTATAATACAGGAATTAGAACTGAAGAGAGATGTTGATATAGTAGTAATAAACTGTTTATGTTTTTTGTCGTTTATATCTTTTTTCATTAATCATTGTTATGCTATTTAAATATAAAGATAAGAAGATGTGGTATGATTGCCAATGAGACAACGCTCCACCAGAGACCAAATGTCGTAGAAGTTGTATGCTTATATCCCTAGATGACTTTGTTTTGCTTTAGTAAATACATATTTTACATATAACACACACAATCAGATAATTTCTTTTTGAAACTACTCGACAGTTCTTAACCAAGATCCATGCCATGACACTAATATGAGGGTCTGGATGGGGATCCTTAATTTCTGTATTCTTTAAATTTTTACATGCATTATTCTTTATCTTTAAACATAACACTGATTCTGTAAAATTCTCCTGCAATTGGTTTTACTATTAAGGAAGAGGGACGAAAGATACCAGAGGGACAGTCAAAATATTAAGAATTTCCTGTAACTAGCTTTATTCTGTACATCGTTCATTTTTGTTATCGGTATTTTATTAACGTATTCTTTCATTTTCCTCAATTATTCTTTATACTCTTGCACCCCATTATTCTCTATTTTTCATATTTTTTGCTTATTTTTTCTCTATTCATTTTTTTTTTGCCATTATTCTCTATTCTGTAAACCCCATCCAAACCTTTTGATATGAGACAAATTAACATTTTTTTCTTTTTTATAGTTGCTTACAAAAACAGCTTGAGAATCTACTTTTTGTCAGTATAAGCTTGGTTATAAACCACACGTTGATTGTGATTTCCCGCAAAATCTATTCAGAGATTGTCATTAAATCACCAAGGAAACAGACTACGTGATTACTGCCAAGGGATTAAATTCATCCACTGTCGACATTTTTTCAAACTTCAAAATGCTGTCTTA